CCTCGGCAAAATGTCCCTGACTGATACGAAGCGAACATAATTCGTAATAGCTGGTAAAGGTCATGTTGTCCAGTGAAAGTTTATGTTCGTCGCGCAGCAGTTCACGGTTTCTTTCGGCGCAAGTAATGCTCTCAGAAAAGAAATCATGTGCTTTCTTTAGCTCTCCCTCTCTCCTATTACAAATCCCGAGAAAGGTAAGAGCCTCGTGTTCTTTTCCTGTATCTCCAATGTTTCTTGTAATTTTTAGGGCTTTCTGCAGGATTTGCTTCGCTTTCTTCAGATTGCCAAGGGTCTCGTAAACTGATCCAAGATTAATCAAAGCTGTAGCTTCGCCTCTTTTATCATTTAATTCTTGCATGATAGAAATCCCCAAGTTGAAGTTCTCTATAGACTCTTTAAATCGACCGCAACACATGTAGCAGAACCCCAGACTGCCGTAGCTCATGGCCTCGTTGTATTTATCTCCAGTTTCCTTAGTAAGTCTAAGAGCCTTCTTTGTATACTCCTCTCCCTCACCAGGATTTCCCAGGCAAATACATACATCCCCGAGACCAAGGTAGGAACCTGATTCACTTCTCCTATCCCCAATTGTCTGACTGCATCTAATAGCTTCAGTAAAACTATTCATAGCTTCCTTTTTCTGGCCAATTGCATTGTATATGTTACCTAGAAGATTATGAGCTCGACCCACGCGGAGTTTGTTCCCAGTTTCTCCTAGAATATTTACAGCTTCAACCTGGTGTTCCAAGGCTTTTGCAAACTGACCGAGTGGAGTGTAGCATAGACCAAGGCTGTGATGGGCTAGTCCTAATTGCTCTTTGGATCCACATTTTTTCATAATTTCAAGAGATGTTTTGAAGTAAGCTAGTGCGTCATTGTTCCGAGAGATTGCATTATATGTCGTGCCAATGTTATTGTAGCAAACACCTGCATCGACCTCATCTCCATGTTCTGCCATCAGGCGCAGTGACTGAAAATGACATTCTAATGCCTTGTTGTAATCCCCCTTCTCGTGATAAGTCATTCCAAGATATTGATACGAATATCCCTCTTTTCTGCTTTTGCCAATTTCTTTGAATATCTCTAAGGACTTCTCCAGGTATCTGATTGCTTCTGGGTAACGAGCGAGGTTTCTGTATTTGCCACCAAGCTCACGAAGTATATCTCCTTCCGTCTCTTTATCTCCAATCTCCTCGCAGATTTTCAGCGCGTCATTTTGACACTTGATGGATAAATCTTGCTTACCCAGAGAGTAATAAGAATCTCCCATTGTTGCATAGGCTGCTATTTCATCCCGTTTGTTCCCAGTTTCTTTTGCAACTTGAAGTAATTTCCTTAAAAATAAAATCGAGTGAACGTGTTGACCCATTGAACAGTGAATGTCACTGATGCCTCTATATGCTCTTACTTCCCAGTCTTTATTCCCAATTCCTTCGTTGACTCGTAAAAGCCTCCGGTAGCTTTCCAATGCTTCCGTAAAATCATTTAGACCTACGTATGAAAGGGCTAGTTTGTAATGCAACAACATTTGACCGAAATTGAAAGATTCAACTTCAAGTCCACATTCGTTCAACAAGACTTGAGCCTCTTTGTACAGATCAATAGCTTTCTGATAAATATGACTCTGATAAAGGAAGTCTCCTGCCTGGTGAGCAATATGGAATTTCAAAGCTTTATCCCAATTCGACATCTGTAAAGAAAACATGCTAGTATTAATGGGTGAATCAATCAACCTTCTTCACACAAACATCGGACTATACCGAAAAATTTAAGAAATTTCAACATTAAAATTACCCATTACATTTCATTTTAGACTTCCCCCCTTTTCTTAACTGGAACAACAACAACAAAAACAACAAGACGTAAAAGATCCAATGAGTCTAAGCTAGTTAACAGGGAACTTGAGCGGTCAGGACGACAGCGTCGATAGAAAATTAAATGAATTTAAATATATAGTCAGAATTTCGCGAATGGCTGGATGTGTTTACCGTCTCTTACAGCTCTACACCTGTACTTCAGCGTAACGTATGTGAACAGTGTTGAGTTCCAAATTTAAATTTAAATAATTTGCCGTCGGGGTTCCCTTTCTATGACCACGCAAATATTGGTGATTTCACGTTGTTACTTTTTAGAGGACAGCTTAAAAAATGTTCGAAGTTTTAAAATGCACGTGCTAAGCTATCGTTCTACTTATTAATTCTATTGTTTTGCAACGTCCTCGTTACCGTTGCCGTCGTGGTTTTCTTCGGGTCCCAAATCGAAATACAACACGATCACTCCGGATGGTTAGTAGTGTAGGAGATGGCGGTACGAGACTACTTTGAAAAGGTGATCTCGTACAGACGCCAACTCTGTATACTACTTTCCATATTTTGGTAATAATTTGATGGAATAATTTTATAATATCAAAGCGTCGGAATACTATAGGAGACTAGCGATATTATCTTACACCATTTTTCCACTGCTTGACGTTATGGTTTTTTTATTTCAGTTTTGAATTTTGTAAGATGTTGTACCATTTTCATGGATGTATCTATTATCATCAAAGCAGCTGAGTGATACTTTATTCAGCTCATAGCTTCCAAGTTGGTGATTGTTGCTTCGGATAGTTTCATTTTGTGACATATTTGTTTGTTATTGAAAAATGCATGTTTATAATCTTCATGTTTGATATCTTTTTTACAACATATTTCTTTATTCCTTCTGCTGTTTTACCAACTTTTTCATTATCTTTCACATAAGAGTACATTTGTGATCGCAATCCCATTGATACTGGAAATTCAGTTCCTGAGTAATCCAAATTGTCAACTTATTGTTTATCAGTTTTTTTTTATTCGCTGAGGGTGCTTTTCTTTAGGGTTTAAATGACTGATATCACACCATCTGAGACATTCACTGTCGTTACTTTTAAGGTTTATCAATCCTTTCGCAAAATTTCTCAATTCAGAGGGTAGTTGAATGTATGATGATCCTTTCAGAGGGTTGTACTGAACAATGTTTATATAACGATTGTCAACTGGTTTAATAGCTCAACTAGAACCTTCTGATATCCAAGTCGCAATCTTATTTTGAATCTCTTGACCTGCAAATAACAAATCCTCATCAGTATCTTTGGTGTTGATTACTGTTTTAGTTTTGCTATTGAAGAATACTGTTTTGATAATTATGCCATCTTAAGTAACATCTTAAGTATGTGACACTTTAAGTCTCAACAAATTTTAGACCTTTCATTTTATGTAATTGTTTCATGAGGTTAAATTGAATGACTGTTCTTGTGCTTCAATGGATCTTTATTGTCTCTAACACCAATCTCAAATTATTTGGTACATCCTTTCAGAGCTTTACTTGTTTTCTCTATTTTGGTTCTTGGTGTTAGAACTGATGTGTATCTACCTCTAAACTCAAGTGGTGGAGGAAAGGTTAAAGGTTATTTTATTCAGAGATTTGTTTGGGAATGTTTTAATGGTCTGATACCTGAAGGAATGGTAAAAGATCATATTAATCATCAAAGAGAAGACAATCGTTTATGTAATCTGAAAGTTGTGACACAAAAAGAAAATTGTAAGAAATCAGCCAAAAATCGTGATTATGCATTTGTAAAAATTTATCATAGGAACAGAAAATATGTTAAAGCCATTAACCTAAATACTAATGAAGTCACATACTATAATAGTTTATATTCTGGACAACAGCATCTTGAAACTAATTCAGGTATCATAAAAATGGTTTGCGAGCCTTTGAATATATGTAAAACAGGAACTTCGAAGAAGGATGGTTGTAAGTATAAAGTTAAGTATATTGAAAAATAGAATATATTAAATGATTGTGACATCAAAAAATCAAGTAATTTATCAAAAAGATTAACAAATGATGAAAAGAAAGTAAATCAAAAGAAATCACCTAAAAAGTGGCGACAAAAAGAATTTATAATAGTGTAGTTTGATCGTCCGG